GAAGCTTCACTGGAAGCTTTCTACTATGATTGACCCTGCTGGTGGCCTAATTTTCAGCACAGCAGCAATATACAAGCCACCACAGTAAGAGAAACTGACAGAAGAGTGTTGTTTTAGTGCTTTAAATAAACTATAAATCCTGCTTTAGATACATAACATATAAATTTTGATATGTTGCATTTTCACTTTCATTTCATTTAAAATTTAATTTTTCTTTTTTATTTATTATTTGACCCATGAGTTATTCAGAAGTATGCTGTTTTCCCCCCTTCACAATTCTGGGTTTTATAAGAAGTAAGTTTTTTAAAGTCCAAATATTTATGGATTCTCCAGAGATCATGATGTTATTTTATATTTAATTCCATATGATCAGAGAACATACTTTGTATGGTTTGACTTTTTAAATCTTTCTTTTTAATGGCCCATGATACTTCCTGTTTTCATGTGCATGTGAAGAGGTTCCAGGGACTTGGGACACATACGGCAGTGCAGTCAAGGCACACGCAGAGCTGGTGTCTAGCAGCCTCACCAAAGACGTCACCCTCAAGTGCTGCTCTCACAGGGACCCCAGCACCAAGGATTACCTACTGCAGCGCTGGATTTTTATACTACAATTCTTGGACTGATGTTGCTCCAAAACTTAGATTTCCCTCTATTTCCTGTCTTATGAGGATAAAATGATAACGATGAAAAGTGGGCATGGGTGTTCTCTGGAAAGGCTACACTTGAGCTGACTCACAATAGGAGCATCAAAGAGGATGCGACCCATAGTTACCACAATGGCGATTCAGACCCTCCTGGGCACATGAAAGCTTTGGAGAGCTGGGAGTGAAATCTGTGAAGAGGCCTGACGATGGCAAAGTGAAGGGGCTGGCATTTGTTAAGATCAGAATGGCTACTGGATTGAAATTTTGAATCATAACCGAATGATAAATATCTCTTGAATCTTTATAAAATGATAAATATTCATTAAGTTTCAATGAAGACATTATAGGTGGAGGGAAGAAATTAGGTGATCCAAGAAATTCAGATAACAGCGGCTTCTAGGACCATTGTCCCAAATTAAATTATCTTTAACTTCATTTTTCTTTCCCCGCTCAGTTATTTTTTTGTTGTTTTAAAGTATTATTTTAACTTATGTACTTGAATATAGTTGTATAGCGTAACTTTTAAAATAATATCACTTTATTGGTGGCTCGTACAACTCTTATCACAATCTATACATACAACCATTGTGTCAAGCACATTTGTACATTTGTTGCCCTCATCATTCTCAAAACATTTTCTTTCTACTTGAGCCCTTGGTATCAGCTTCTCATTTTTTCCCCTCCCTCCCTCATGAACCCTTGATAATTTATAAATTATTATTTTTTCATATTTTACACTGACCAATGTCTCCTTTCACCCACTTTTCTGTTGTCCGTCCCCCTGGGATGGGGTTATATGTGGATCATTGTGATCGGTTCTTCCTATATCCCTTGCCCCATCTTCCCTTTCCCCTCCTTGTATGGCTATTCTCAATATTGTTCCTGAGGAGGATTCCCTGTGTTTCCATCTCTTATCTGCACCCATGTACATCCTCTGGTCTGGCCAGATTTGTAAGGTAAAATTAGGGTCATGATAGTGGGGGAAGGGAGCCTTTAAGAACTAGAGGAAAGTTTTATATATATTTGAAAGTTATATATTTTATCGGTGCTATACTGCACCCTGACTGGCTCGTCTCCTCCCTGTGACTCTTCTGTAAGGGGATGTCCAGTTGCCTACAGATGGGCTTTGGATCTCCACTCCGCACTCCTTCTCATTCACAATGATTTTTTGTTCTGGGTCTTTGATGCCTCATAACTGGTCCTCTTGACACCTTGTGATCACACAGGCTGGTGTGCTTCTTCCATGTGGGTTTTGTTGCTTCTGAGCTAGATGGCCGCTGGTTTATCTTCATGCCTTTAAGACCCCAGATGCTATATCTTGTGATAGCTGGGCACCATCAGCTTTCTTCACCACATTTTCTTATGCACCAGCTTTGTCTTCATCGATCGTGTTGGGAAGATGAGCATAATGGAATGCCAGGGTAATAGAACAAAGTGTTCTTGTGCTGAGGGAGTACTTAAGTAGAGGCCCAATGTCCATCTGCGACCTTAATACGAAACTTATAAATATAGGTACATAGATCTATTTCCCCATCCTCATATATAAATATATTTACATATGTACATGGCTTTATTTAGATCTCTATAAATGCCCTTTGACTCCTAGTTCTCTCCTCTATTTCCTTTAACTTTCCTCTTGTCCCACCATCATGCTCAGTCTTCATTTGGGTTTCAGTATTTCCTCTCGGTTACATTGTCCTTGATCAAGCCCTACCAGGTCTCCTACACCCTCCTTGCCATCGATTTTAGATCACTTGTTATTCCCTTGTTCCTGGGTTTGTTAACACCCACTTCCTTTCCCCCACCTCCCCCTCTCCCATGTCCCCACAAACTGTCAGTCCCATTGTTTTCTCCTCCAGATTGTTTATCTCACCTATCTTATCTAATTAGACCTGTAGAGATTAAAATATGCACAAAAGCAAGACAGCAAAATGAAGCAACAAAAGAAAACAAAACAGCAACAACAAAAAAAAGCAATGACAAAAAAAGTCTATAAATAGTTCAAGGACTGTTTGTTGACCTTTAGGAATCTGCTGGGGTGCCATGCCCTGGCCCCAAAGTCTATTTTTGGTATTACCTGGGGACTTCGTTGCTCTGCTTCCCTTCCTATTCCGTTGCATGCTCTTAGTGTTTCGCCTAGGTGTGGTGGGGTCAGATCAGGGACAATTCCCACACTATGTCTCCAGTGTTGTCCCCCATAGTGCTATGGGTCAGTGAGGGATGTCATGCCTCATAGTGGGTCTGGCCCTAGGGTCCTCTCTGTGCACTGGCTGCTCTGAGCAGGAATATCATCCTCAGGGCTTGGTTAACTTTACTTTTTTAGTTGAAAATTACAATAGCTCCCATTCACAGGCTACATTTGCCTTCTGTTATTCCTAAATACTTCTCTTCAAGTCTGCCTTTGAATCAGTATTTAAAAAAAAAAAAAATCATTTAGCATGCTTTTGTTGTGTTGTCCTCTGGAGTTACAATTCCTCAGAAATAACTTTTCACAATGGAAAGTAAATTACATGGAACAAAAAATGAAGTTGTGTGTACTTCAAACAGTGTGAAGTGCTTATTTTGTAAAAGTATTTATTTCATCTTACTTTATAAAAGAAGTGTTTGCAGAACAATCCAGAATTATGCTGACAAGAATGCAGATGGAAAAAAAAAAAAAAAGAATGCAGATGGACTCATTTTATTTTCATTATAAAAAAAGTCCAAAGTCATCCCCTTACAGAATTGTTGCAGGGAGGAGACGAGCCAGTCACGGTGCAGTGTAGCAACGATGAAACATACAACTGTTCTCTAGTTCTTTAATGCTTCCTCCTCCACTATCATTATCCCAATTCTACCTTACAAATCTGGCTAGGCCAGAGGATGTACACTGGTACAGATAATGAACTGGAAACACAGGGAATCCAGGACAGATGAGCCCCTCAGGACCAGTGGTGAGAGTGGTGATACTAGGAGGGTGGAGGGAAGGTGGGGTAGAAAGGGGGAACTGATCACAAGGATTTACATATAACCCCCATCCGTGGGGGACAGACAACAGCAAAGTGGGTAAAGGGAGACATCGGACAGTGTAAGACATGACAAAATAACAATAATTTATAAATTATCAAAGGTTCATGAGGGAGGGGAGCAAGGAGGGCGGGGGTGGGGGGGGTACGAGGAGCTGATACCAAGGGCTCAAGTAGAAAGAAAATGTTTTGAGATAGATGATGGCAACAAATGTACAAATGTGCTTGACACAATGGATGTGTGTATGGATTGTGATGACTTGTACGAGCCCCCAATAAAATAAAATAAAATAACATTCAAAGTGACAAGAAAAGAGTATATATTCTACTATTGTTGGATGTAATTTACTGTAATTGATTAAAAAAAAGCCAGGTTGGTAGACAGCATTGTTCAAGTTTATGATACATCTTTGTTTTTTCTCATCCTACTGTTCTGTCAGTTGTTGAGAGGCTGGAATTGAAATCTCTAGCTATAATTGTGGATTTGTATTTATTTCTTCTAGTTCCACATTTTTTAATATTCATGAACCTAAATGTTTTGAATTGTTATGTTCTCCTGACCGATCCCTTTGTCCTTATAGACACTTTCAATAAAAAAACTAACAACTAAACTTGTAATAGTCTTTGCTTTGAAAAGCACTTTAACTGATCTAAAAAGTAACCCTGGCTTTCCTTTCATGCTTGTTAGGTACTGTGGAGCTGGTTCCAGCTCATGGTGATCCTGCGTACAGCAGCACAAAACACCATGCCCTGCCCCAAGCTTGAGCCCATGGATGTGGTGACTGTGTCAGCTACCCTATGTTTCATGGTTTCTCTACTGCACCAAGCATGATATCCTTTGCCAGGAACTAGTCACTCCTGATAATATGTCCAAGGCACATGAAAGGAAGTCTTGCATCCTTGTTTCTACGCAGCATTCTAGCTGTATTTTCTATGGCAGATTTTTTGGGGTTTTTTTTGGCTGTCCATGGTACGTTTTAACATTTCTAGCCAGCACCACACCTCAAATGCAACAAGTCTTCGTTGGTCTTTCTTATTCAATATCCAACTTCCACATGCATATGATGAGACTGAAAATACCATAGTTTGGGTCAGCTACATCTTAGTCTTTCATTACTTCTAATAAAATTCTGTTAGTGCTAATATAAATATTTTTTTATCATTTTAATTTCAATCTATTTCTGTTTTCATGTTCAAAATGCATTTCTTATAGGTATAGTTGGGTCATCTTATTATACATGCTTTAATTCAGAGCACCCTGGGGAATCTCTTTACATGCCAATGAAACATGACCATTAACACACTCAGGACTGTACTACAGTAAAAAGAAAATCAAATATAAGCTTACCCATAGGGCAGGATGAACTATCATGGCATGTGCAAGCTGTAATGTGGTCACAGTTGAAGTTGTCTGAGAAAAGAAACAAGAGAGTTGAAGTCAAAACAAATACCTCTCTTGACTGGAAAAAGACTTTCATTTACTACTACAACATGTAATTCACAGAATTAAAGAATCTGGTAGGTAAGCAACTTCTTTAACCTGAGGAGCCACCAGCACCAGGTCCTTGCTTTAAAATGCTGTCGCATGCTGTATGAGCTCAGTCTGATGCCCCTGGAGGTGCTATCCCAGGCTACTGGCAGGTGGTCTCTGGCTATACACACATTATTAGTTTAAAACACTGGGATGGTTAAGGACTAGGTCAACTAGACACTCCTGGGTAAGGGTAGGGGTGGAGTCAATCTACAACTGCATCAAAGCCCAAAGACTACCTCCTTGGTGTCATGATCCTTTTACATCAGATCAAGAGCAGAGAATTCTCTTTGTCCCTTTGCTTTTGGCTGGAGTGGGATCTTGCCTCGGATTCCTCCATCTCCTGTTGTTTCACCTGCCGATCCCAGGAGCCTTTATTGGGTTACCAACAGTAGATTCCGTCCATGACTGTGGACTTCTACATACACCAGCCTGTGCCCCCTTCGGTCTCTGCTTCATCAGCCTGCTTCCTGTTCATCAGCTTCCATGAATCAGGAGAAGCCTGCCTTGAATCGGACTGGACTGACCTATTTCTACAATTGCGTGAGCCATCTCTTGATAGTCCAACAAGTGAGTTAAACGGGGACCCGGTAGGAATCGCCATCTCTGCACCCTTCAAGTCCTTGATGGTGGCATTAATCTCAGTAATCCCTTCAGGAATGTGGTATTGCTTTTGGTTTACTATTTTCCTAGCAGAGGCTTCCACTTGTCTTGACCTACCACAATAGCCCTATTCTACACTTAAGGGATCTAATATGGGGGTTCTGCCAGTTGTTTTGCATGTGTGCTCCAATAATGCATTCTGGAACTGGGAAAATTACTAGAGGATGGGTTCAGGGACCCACCGTGATATGGACCTGAGCCAAGACTCCATTAATAACTTAACCTTTATATCCTCCCATTCTAACTGGTGGGCCTTTAAAACAGTTTTGAGTCACCTGGGATTAATGTCAATTCACAGCTAGTGTCCAGTAACCCCCCAAAGTCTGCTTATTTTCTTTTCTCCAATGAACTGTCACTCTTATGAAAGGCCACAGATACCTTTAGGGAAGACTAGGAAAAAGACTAACAGTACAAACCTCTGGTGATAGTGTGAGGTTCTTCCTCAAAGGGGCCTGGCCTCCCCGCATTTAAGGGGTCGTGGGTCTGTTAACTGGATCAAGTATGGGAACTGATTGAGGGGCATGACTATTCTGGCAATTAAGTTAGACCACCATTCACCTGATCTAGAATTTTTCTGCTGGTACATGTCAAGTAAATATTCAGTAGGCTTATCATCTGTTTCACTTCTAAAGATACTTTGTGTAAGTAGCCAATGCTATAGGTCCCTATGATCAGGCTATTCTGATTTCTACTTTGACTATGCTGTCCATTACACTAACCACACTTCCCTGGTCTCTGTCAATGGAATGCTGCCATTTGCTCCCTTCCTCTAGGAGGCCAGTCAGCCCCATTGAGGGCAAATGCCTTAATTCACTTAGGGCAGTTCCCACTGACATAAAACAGCAATCCCAGGAGTCTTCTAAGATGCTGGGGCTCCCTTCACAAATTTGTTTCTTATTGTTTTAGTCAAAGGTGTGTCCTTGGGGGCACTCCATTTTTGGGGTCTATTCTGATAAATTCATTCTAACAGGCCAATTTCCCTCAGCCTTTGGAAACCTTCTTCTATGGTCTATCAAGGTCGGTCGGGTACTTCTGCTAGACTGTAGGCCACCTCATCACCCATGCTTCAGCAAACCAACCAATAAACAATCAGATCGTCTTCTAACATCTCTGCTGAAACACCGAACGAAGAATCTATACTTGGTGGGTCCCTGTCCATAAACTCAGACTGGTCCAAGCTGATTTTCCCAGCACCATTATCCTACACCCTTAACAGTCCCCACACATGTTCTCCAGATTTCTGTCTGTAAATATTAGCCAACTCTAGCAGTGTCAAGAGTATAGCATAGTTCTTCCTGGGTCACCAGGTGGACTTCACTTTAGGGGACTTGCTGTGACTTAAGTCTAGAGGTCCAGGGGCAATAATGGTGGGGAGGGTGTTTCCTGGGAACGTACCTTGTAAGACATGTCTTAGATAATGCTTCAGACACACCCCCAGATGCTTTGTTGGCATGCACTTTTGGGCTAATCTCTTCCAGTGTGGGTGGCAGGAATGGTTGTTTTACTGTGAGTGGTTTTATCATTTCAGATGGGAGGTGGGGGTGGTGTTGCTGATGACTAGAGTGTTTCAATGAAATCTTGGGGTTCAATGTCTTCATCTTCTGGGTCATTGGCTCCGATGTCCCCAACCAAGTTTCAGGGTCCCATTTCTTTAAGTAAGTGCTCTCACTTTAACATGATACACGTTTCTAGATTGAGAATTAATCTGGCATTGTAATTCAGCTACTCTTATGATAAGACTCTGGGTTTGGACTTCAGCAATATTGCTTCTGTTACTGAAAGAGATAAGGCTTTCTTTCGTGGCACAAGTGAAGCTTTGAGGTAATTTATACGGCATTTGAACCAGGCTTCTGAAGTTCTTCAGTTCATTCGTTTCCTTTACTAGTTTGCCTATTACAAGAAGTACCAACCAATCAGCTTCCCCATACTTCTCATCCTGACAAAATTGTGCAAAGCTATCAAACATAAGATCACCTAGAGCAGCCGTTGTCAACCTGTGGGTCGAGAGCCCTTTGGGGGTTGAACGACCCTTTCACAGGGGTCGCCCAATTCATAACAGTAGCAAAATTACAGTTATGAAGTAGGAACAAAAATAATTTTATGGTTGGGGGGTCACCACAACACAAGGAACTATATTAAAGGGCTGCGGCACTAGGAAAGTTGAGAACCACCAACTTAGAGCCTTACTTCTCACCAACACTTCATCTATTGATGGTGCCATTTTGGATATTATCTTTGCCTCTTCACACATGGACTAACAGTGCTCTTTACTAGTAGTGACAGACTTCTCCATACTTACAGAAACAGACTTGTCAGTGCCTTTAGGCCTAATTAGACCTGAGAGCCAATTCAGAAAACTCATCTTGACAGTTTTGTTTCTCTGGAACGACCTCTGGTACCCAAAATGTCAGTTGGGTTCTTTGAGATGCAAACCCAGTGACGCTTGTATGTGTTGTCCACAGAGAGATTTCTATCAAGAGATGGCTCACACAGTGGTAGAAATACATAAGTCCACTCTGGTTCACTCAGGCTTCTCCTGACTCATGGAAGCTGACCAACAGGAAGCACGAGGATGAAGCAGAGACAGAAAGGGGCACAGGCTGGTGGATGTAGAGCCCAAAGCCATGCACTGTTGGTAGTCCGCTGATGATTCCTGGGATTGACAGGAGACACAACAGGAGGTTGAGGAACCAGATGCAAGATTCAGCTCTAGCAGAAGGCAACGGGCCAACGAGGACTCTGCTTTGTGTCTCAGTCTTACATAAGGAGGTGTCAGCAGGTTGTGATGCGGTGGTTAGGCTGAGCTCTGTCCCTTCCCTTACCCAGGAGTGTCTAGTTGACAATCTCTAACCATCACACACACTCGGTTCCTTCCTTCATGGCCTGTGCAGAGACCAGCTGCTGCTACTGGGTAAAAACTTCCTCTCCATCGCCCCACCATCATGCTCATGAAAAAATACTACTCGCACTTATATACCAGGTTTGAAGGGTGTTGTCTAAGATAGCTCAGCCAAGCAAGGCTACAGCCACTCACCATGGAGGCTGGGTTGGGGCTTGGTGGTGGCTGTAAAATGGGCCCTGAGTTTTCTTATCCACCCTGGCTGCAGTTAGAAAACAGCATAAAGAGCCTGCGTAAGATTTCTATAATGTAATGCCATGTCCTCTTTAACTTCCTTTGGAAAATTTAATTCTCCTGGGCCTGGCATGTCTTAGGACATCTGATCTTATAGGCCAATGGGAGGTAGGCTGTCTGTAATAAGGGGTACCCCAGTCCATACAGTCACTAAGAAACAAAGCACTGCCTTTCAAGTGGAAACCTGCTACATACAAGCACCTCAAGTCTACTGCAGGATTGCCAATGCATGTCCCCCCCACCCCCCAAGGGTGGTCTACATCCTGGTCGGACAGGTTGAGATGCTACTTTCTATAAGATTGGACTTTTGATGTTTGCCACCATCTTTTTTATATATATTTGTTTCCACAAATACCTTCTTTTGGTAGAATAACTCATGAATCTTTTATATTTCTGTTGTTATCTTTTTGAATAATTTTACTTCTGCTTTTTTCCCTAAAGAATAGAAATACAATCGTTTTTTTTTGTATCTAGCAACATTACTAAGCTCTCTTGCTAATTCTGAAAAGCTTTAGGAAACTCTTTTGCGTTTTCCAAGTATACAACCATGCAAACTGAATGAAAACCAAACCAAACCACCCTTTTTCCTCTTCAGCCCTTATAGCTGTAGGTTTTTGTTTACTATTTAGTTTGCCTTATTGCACACACGGGGTCCCAAATACAGTTACACAGATATGGGATCATACCTCTGCCCCACCCTCCATGCCCATCCTTGTCTTCGCATACTCAGCTCTATCAGTCATTCCATGATTCACCACCCGGCTCACCTCCTCCCGCTTGCTCTGCATCCTCCTCTGTCGGGTGAAGACCGATGTGGCCTCATCGTACTCTGGCACAAGTGTGAGGGGGTGGGCATCCTCTGAACTCAGCCCCATGGCTGTGCTGGAACTGCTCAGCCCTCAGTGAGAGTGGTCCAGCTATCTTCACTCACTTACCTGAGCAGCCATTCCTCAGATGCTCTCTCCTTTCAGCCTCCTTCCCATCCAGGACCCACGGCTCTTCCCCTCGCTCCAGCTGAGAGATCACGTCAGGCTTGGATCCTGGGAGTCCTGCCCATAGAAAGGAAATCCTTCTGTTTAATGGCTATCTCCCACCCTATGCCCAATGTTGTTTGTGGAGACACAATGGGGAACAGGAATAAGAAAAACCCTGCATATGGCTGAGGTGGGAGGGCACTGGGCACAAACACTGGGAGCTCAGAGTTGATATTCAGCCTACTCTTGGGCCCCACCTTCCTGGGGGAGGCCCCACTCACTGCCCACACGCCCCACACCCCAGATAAGGCTTGGTTCATGGAAAGCCTGGCTCACGCTGCCTCTGTGGGCCTTACCCAGTGAGACCACATTCCCATATGTCTCCATCATCACATTTCGGTAGAGCCCCCGCTGAGCAGGGCCCAGGTGGTCCCACTCCTCCTGGGAAAGCAGCACGGCCACGTCCTCGAAGGTCACTGCGGCCTGCAATGACAGGCACTGTGCTAGGGCAGAACCAAGTGCAAATGGGTGGGGAGGGCCTGTGAGAAAACCTGGGGTCAACTGCTGAGTGAACCGAGCGATGGGAAGGTCTGACAGGGGCAAGGCATGGCAGAGATGCCGTGGCCGCTGTGGCACCCCCAGACTGAGTGGAGCGGGGAACCTGCTGGCTGTATGGGGCCTGGGGGAAGCTCACCTGAGGTCTTGCCACTGGCAGGGGCCCAGCTGCTGCCATTGCCTGATCTCCTGGGGCCTCTGAGGACAGATGGGAATCCACGTGGGGCTGAGGAAGAGGAAGGGACACATAAGTGGTCCAGTCTTGTCCCTGGCAGACCCCCATTTCCTGAGAGGCCTTAAGAAGTCCCAAGTTCCTTCAGGCAAGCAAAATTGCTGAGGGATATGCTGAGGAGGGCTTCCCACTGGTCCTTGAAGCTCTGCTCTACCCTTGTTGGGCTCCCTGCCCCTACAGACCCTGACACCACAGTCTGGGGCTGCATCCAGGCACTGAGTAAATCTGTGGTTCCTAGCCCTGCCCCAGCCAGTGCCACACCCAGGATCATGAGCTAGGAAGGGCACATTTAACAAGTGCCCAGGTAAACATTCAAACACCTGGCCTAGGCACAAGACTCTAGGTACTCGTCCCTGGGCTCTGAAGCCCTCAGGGTGACTAGTCTGCACCCACATAAGGACCTGGAAAAATCCCTGGACCACCTGCCCACCTAGCTCCCTAAGGGCCATCTGGCTGATTCTGTCCCCTCCAGGAGCCTTCAGTAACATCTCAGCCCAGGTGGGGGGTTTTCCTCACTGGCCTCCTCACTGTCACCTAGAATTGGATGTCCAACTTCAGGTCCTGGAGGAAGGGTCCCCCAGCTTTCCTGTCTAGTATGTCCTGTAAGGCCAGGCTGCACATGAAAATAAAGCACCTTTGACTTATAGGCACCATATAATCCAAGGTCCTCATCCATTCTGAATTGATCGACTGAGTTACCTGAGTTTGGGGCGCACCTGGCTCTGCCTTGCAGGCACATTGAACTTCCACGGTGCAATGCTGTGAAGAAGGGAAGACGTGGCAAGTCACCACAAAGAGCTCAACAGCAGCCAGGTGGGCACAGATAACTGCCGAAGATGGGCACTGGTGCCCACGGAGGGTAAAGGCATTGGGGGTCACCCCAGAGGGGTTTCTCAGTGCTGGGATGTCTGTCTCTTGACTTGGGAGCTGATGCTGGGGTATGCACATGTAGTTAAAATTCATGTGACTTCTACGTCAATAAAAAGTCTACATACAGGAAGATAAAGGTGAAGCAAAACTCAGAAGCATAAAAGAGACCAGGCTCACTGGTTGACCAGAGACTGGAGGAGCCCCCAAGGTCATGGCCCTTAGTTACCCTTCAGGTCTGGAATTGAACTCCACCATGGCTCAGCCAGAAAATTAACAGGTCTATAAGGGTAATGATAACACTAGTGCACATTTTGGAATAATTAACCTATTTGAGGTCAGGGGGCAGCTTTTGCTCAAGGAAAAAGTTCAGAAGGGCTAGGAGGGAAGAAATGGTGGCAGAAAATGAAAGGAGGCTAGATAGTACCCGACTACTATTACAATTGCTCAGAAAAGAGGCACACTAGGAGCTCCTGGTTAGAGAGGGAGAAAAATCCAGAACAAAATCCATAAACTGTCCAGGCCCAGCTGACCAGCTTGCTATAGATTGGTGGGATTCATAAGACTATGGCCGTTAACTCTTCAGGTGTGGAACTGAACTTTTCTTCGACCACTGACGATCAAAAGGGCAGGGTTTACCCCGGGACAGAGTTCAGAGGGTTAGGAAAGGAGGAGGAATGGGAACAGGAAACACAAGGAGGAAATGGACTAAGGGACGGAACCTTGAGGGGTTACAGTGGATGAGTTGAATCAGAATTTGTGTGAACTGTTGAATCTAATACTATGATCTGCTCTATAAACCTTCACTGAATTAACAATAAAAAGTTGGGTTAAAAAAAGAGAAAGGAGCACCCGGAGGAGATGGATGCATGGGGGTGTGTCGCCCTGTGGAGACCACCATGAATGAGGTGAATCAGACTGTGTCTGCACTGTGGACTGCAAAGCTGTGACCTGCTCTCTAACCTTCATCCAGATCACACGATTGTTTTAGAGAGTCTATAGAGAACCAAAGCTCCTGATACAAAACTCACGGAAAACAAAAGGTAACAGTAGGCCTCCACCTAATTCACAGTAAGAAGAAAAAAAGGTACTATCAGGCTTGAGAGACTGTGCAGATCCTGGCCCCCAAGGCCCAAGGCTGCGGTAGGTGGGACTGGCAAGGATGTGAGCTTATCTACCCTGTAGATGGCCCTATCTTGTGGCCCTGCTAGTCCTGTTGCAACATACGTAAGAGATGGTGGTAACTGAGCCAGACGTTGGCAGTGGAAGTGTGGGAAGTGGTTGGGTTCTGGACTGGATACAGAATGAGGCAAGAAGGGGAGTTAGGCCATAGAGCCTAACTTAGGGCATAGTCTTATGGCTTCCACCAGGCCAAAGGTCATACAGGCCTGGGTGGGCCTGAGCAACTGAACAAGGACCTGTGGCCCAGTGAGAAGGGGAGACATCAGCTGGGTAGGTACTGAGAAAAAATCAGAAGTTCAGATTTGTTGAAGTTCAGTTGATTTGTCTACCACACTCCAAACGGTGAGAGAGGACAGAGTAGGGAGACAGAGAGGTCCTGTGGAGCTTTTGATCCTGTAGTAAATAGGCTCTGGGCTCTTCTGGAGTGTTGAGAAGGAATCTGCTTCAGGGAGACAACGCTGAGTGGTGACAAATGGGGGGAGATGATCCAGGAAAACATAACTTGGCATAAAAATGTGATTACTCCCATATACTTGGTGCATTGATAAGCACAACACTAAGACAGAATAGCAAGTTAACAAAAAGTGTGATCTAACCAGAGCAACTACTTAGTTTACCACGCACACAAGGACTTTAAGAGTGAAAAAGGGGCAGGTCATGCTGGAGTGGATGGACACAGCAGGGGTCCAGGGGTCAGGTCAGGAAGTCATACCCATTTGAGAATATGCATAGACAATTTTCAGAAAGGAGTAGGGTGTAAATACTCAAAGATGGAGAGAACATGATTTACAACCTCCTGGTCCATCTGTTAAAAAAAAAAAAGGCGAATTCTCCCCATATTTGCATGTGTGTGTTTGCATACTTGTGATAAAATTCTAAGTAGAATTCCAACAGGAATATTTTAAAGAATGAACAAAACCATCTTACAATTCATATGACAAGTGAATGCTGGAGCTTAGCCACGAGTGGAATGCTATCCACAGAGGAACAATGAAAAACCTCTGGAGTAGAACAGAGGTTTCAGACGCAGATCCAGTAGGTATGCAAATTTAAACGATGACAAGAGTGGTAAGTTCTTGTTCAGCGGGAAATGATGGTGCTGGTGTAGGCAGCTGTCCAGACATGGTCGTAGACTTGGAATGTTCAGTTAAGAAGGCCCCATTGAGGCACTTTAGAACTGGTAATCTCCCTTCCCTCCTACTCAACATCTCCATGTGGACGTCTCATAGATTTCAGACACTTAGCATAAAAATTGAGCGCCATCTGGCATGTCGCCGCTAATTCAATAACAGCAGCTTTGCTTCCCTGCAGCAGGCACTGAGGGCCCCACGCCTGCCAATGACGATCAGCAGGGTTCATTCTTCAGACTCAGGAACTGTGCTTTTGGATTTCCCCCTGTAAATAGCTCAAGTCAACAAGAATGATTAACATGTTCACAATGCAATGCTCATGAAAAGAAAAGAGAGGACCCTTGCTAGTTGAAGGCTTACTGTTGGGTTGTTTTGGATTACGCAAACTAAACTTCAGAAACTTGCTGATGGTCTTGACATGATAAGCAGCATGGCTATCCACACATGGTACATGGTACATGATGACACTCAGTGACAAGAGTCTCAAATCCCATGAGGCCAGACCCTGGGTCTTGGGTGGGCAGCTCACAGAATCTCCTGTAGGATTGGGCTCTGGCCTCTGGTCTTTGTTTGCCATCCCTCCCTCTAGCTTTCTGGATAAGAAAAAAACCCCTCAACAGCTCAAACTCCCTGTCATTGTCGGTTCAGACTCAGAAACCCTGTAAGACAGGGGAGAACGGCCTCTGGTGCTTTCTAAGACCATCATTCTTTAGGGGAGTAGAAAACCTCCTCTACATCCATGCCCTTCAAGTGGAGGCACCTTCCAAAGAGGTAGCTTCTGAACCACCATGAGCAAAAAGCAAAGCACTGCTCATGGAAAACACCTCTAACTTTCTTGACGCTATAATCACAAATATGTGTTCAAATCAGTATTTTCCTATGCTTAGCGCCACCTAGTCAGGAAAGACAAAGGGAAAAAGAGATCATAGCACAATTGTAACAATAAGAAAAGAGCGCCTATGCAACCACGAGGTGTCGAAGGGATCAGGTGTAAGGCATCATCAGAACAAAAAATCTTACCATAGTGAAT